TGCTGTCGTTGCTGCTGCTACGGCTACGCAAGGCTTCACAGAAGAACGCTTGCCAACGCTTGGACGGAAAGTGTGTGCTTATGTTGTGGAGAAGAAGGAAGACACCAGGTCAACGACGACGACGAAGCGACAGCAGCAACAACAAACAGCAGATGAATGATACTCCACGCTGACCAGTACTTTCACCCTCAACACCTCAACTACCAGAGAATCTTCTTCTGACGACACTAGCAACAGAAAACAGCAACCGCAGCACAACTTACTTCACACACCGTTTCCCCATTTCATCACCTGCCTCTTTTAGACAGGCACGCAGCGCTATGGTGAGTGTTNACACACCACAGTTTCCTTATTTCATCACCTGCCTCTTTTAAACAGGCACGCAGCGCTATGGTGAGTGTTCTACTTCTCCTCCGGGAGTTCTAAATCATCTTGGCACTAACCGACATTTACCTCATTCTTTACCCTAGGCTGCACCCGCCGAGGAGCCGGTGGTTCTGCCCATCGGCACCGAGGTGAGCGCCAAGTACAAGGGCGCCTTCTGCGAGGCGAAGATCAAGAAGGTGGAGCAGGTGGTGAAGTGCGGCGTCCGCCTGCGGAGCAACGGCCAGACGGTGACCATTCCCGAGACCGACCTGCAGGGTGGCTCGCGCAAGGTGGGCGGCGTGGTGGCCATCGTCCGGGGCGGCTCCTCTGGATCGGCCACGGCCGAAGAACGAACCGCCGCCGCCGTGGACCGCAAGCACGACGGCGAGGAGGGCATCATCACCAAGATCCTCGACCAGTCGCTCTACACTGTCGTCTTTGATGATGGCGACGAGAGGACGCTCAAGCGGACGTCACTCTGCCTCAAGTCAGGTAGGATTAGCTTTTGTTGCTTTTGTTTTGGTTGTTCTATTTGGGAACTTGCTAACATTTCTCTTTCTCTTTTCTCAGGTAAACACTTTGCCGAGAGCGACACGCTGGACAAGCTGCCGCTGACGCACCCCGAACACTTCGGCAACCCGGTCAATTTGGGCCGCAGTAGGCGGCGACGACACGCCTCCTCGCT